TTATTTTGGGTCAGTGGTGGAGTTCTGTTTGCCCCATAGGGCCGCCAAAAGGTGGGGCGTAACACTCAGAATCCGTCTCATTGAATAGATGTGTGTAATATTTGAAAATGCACTCTCTGCATGAAGCCTGGATGGCCAAAGCATGTAAGCCATTCAGAAGCTGAGCGTATCAAACAGAAATCAATGAAAACTGACGAAATAAGAACAAAGTGTGCACATGTTCAACAATGAGAGGAAAACTCCTCATACTGTATGTCTCTTCCTGCTCGAGGCCCATTGAGTCCTGCAGCATAAATGTACTGCAGAGCTGTGATGAAGACCCACATTTAAACAGAGACAGTCTCATGAGCAGCATAGTCTTTGTCTCTGCATGTAAACACTCACCTTTAAAGACAGAATCCAATCACTCGTTGTCACCAACATCTCCTTGATTAAAGCACCCTTTGCAGGTCTCCATCTACTGTATGTGTTCGGAGACTTCTGGAGGTTGCTGACATTCCTCTGGATCTATTCCTAAAACCCGGATATGAGTTAGCATTTTGCCACTCACAGTTCCCTCATCTTGAAGTCAAAGGGTTTTTTGAATACTCTTTTTTTATTAGATGCCCAAGAGACTTTCATGACAAAATAAAATACACCAGTAAATATTCCACTTGTGAACTTACAGCCTTCTGTGCCTTAAAAAAGGTGGTTGCGAACAAGTGGCTAAACAAGACCACAGAACATCATCACACCCAACGCAGCTTTACAGCCGTGTTGTGGGGATGTTAAGTCATGAGACGGGTAATGTAGTTTATTTACAGCCCAACTGCATTTGGGGCCTCAAAAATCATCAATGTTCATTTGTGAAGATTATCTTGCTGAACAAAACATGTAAGTATCATAAATGTTTGTTTGCCACAGAGCTTATTTTCTGCAATAATCCAAAATTCAATGGCAAAATCCCACAGGCCTTTTGATGAGGAAACCAGGGCGACGTAAACTTCCACATTGGTCGACATTACGTCACCCCGGAGCACTCTCTATGTTAACAATCTCAAATTTTGTCATCCTGATTGTCAATACTGTAATTATTTTATTTGTCTGTTCTGTACACACATCATCTATTGTATTTAAATCTGTCTCACTGCAACTAAAGTATGTTGATCATTGAATAGGCATATACAGTCTAATAGAAAGAGAACAATGCGAGTTAGTCACTGCTGCAGTTAAGAAAAAGTAAAAACAGGTCTCACAGTGTGAGAATTCAAACCATCAGAAGCCCCCAAAGGTACCAGTGGACACCCTGATATTGGAAAACTACGCTGCCACGTGTACTATTTTTAATGTAATCATTTCCTGATTTGTCCCTTTTTTTTTTTTACAGCCATGGCAGTAAAATGTGTGATGCAGTGTGTCTGAGATCAGTGATTGAGTTCACGTGTCCTGTGATTATGCTACTGCTGCACTTCTTAAAAACAAATAATACAGGGGCCACTACAGAAATGTGTAGCTGAACCTTTAATATCCACACAGACTTCACGCTATAGACACCTCTGACTATCTGTAGTTTAGCACATTGATCATATACCAGGTTTCCTCGTCTTGTTTTCCAGTAAGAATTTTAGTGCCAAAGTCAAAGGAACTGATAACATATTTATGGATCTCTGATGGCCTCTGATAAATCAGTATTCCCGTAATCTAGGTGACTTGGTCCAAACAACTGTTGATGAATAGTAAACATTTATTGCTTGTCTGTTATTTCCTTGTTTTCATTTCAGAGTCCTGGTTAATTTTTATCCAAACACTCCTTACACACTTTTCTCATGTGACCGTGTTGTTTTCATTCTAGTACATAATGAGCTAATAATTTGACAATGTCCTGTAAATTGTCTTCATTTTTGGCTCATATTCAGATACTGTGTAGTTGTGTACAGTTAGAAGTGTTTGCCCAGTGGTTTTGAGCAGTGACATCACACCAACAGTGCAGACACCCTCTCTGAAGCGTATAAAAGAAAGTGGCCTTTCAGCTGTCTCTGAAAGATTCTCCATAACATCCAACGGTGCAGATCACGTTCTACGAAGACTTAGACAAAGACTCCGACACCAACATGCTCTTGTTCCTCTTCATGTTCGGTCTGGCTCTGGGTGCTGTGTCTCCTTCAGACGTCCATCAGGTGAAGCTACAGCGTGGCGCCTGTCCCATGTTCTGGTACAGCTTCAACGGCCGCTGCTACAAGTACATCGCTACACGCATGACCTGGGCTGATGCAGAGTTCCACTGTGTGACACAAAGAGCCAACCTGGTGTCCATCCACAGTCTGAATGAACACAATTTTGTCAGATCCCTGATCAGGAACTTTGACCATGCCGAAGGATGGACCTGGATTGGACTCACTGACATTCACAGAGAAGGCAGATGGACGTGGTCCGATGGGTCTAGAGTCAACTTTGTCTTGTGGGATGTGGGACAGCCAGACAACTATAGACATGAACACTGTGGACACGTCAACTTTGGCTCAAATCGGAGATGGAATGACCATCAGTGTCATAATGCATTCGCTTCTGTTTGTGTATCCCGCAAAATTTGTTAGCAGCTGAGAAGGACTCAGTGACTTTCCGCCTGCTGCTCTGTAGTAATGCATTGAGCCTGCATGATAAAGATGCAAATGTGTGTTTGTGCTTTCTCATATACAACCCTACTTATGAATAAAATGGATTGTTTGATGATAATGTTGCTGTGTCTTTTATAGAAGTTCAAAATACTTTTAGATTTCCACCACAATATTAAATGATAATAGCTTCGATTTATAGAGCACCTTTCAAGTTACCCAAGGTTGCTTTACAGAGTAAGAATACACAAATAAATAAATAGAAATGACAATGAAAATGAAAAACATGAGTTGACTAGAGGCCATACGCCTTGGTGAACAAATGGGTTTTCAGCAGGTTTTTGTAAACGTCCAGAGATGGGGCTTTGTGAATCTCTGCTGGGAGGGAGCTCCAGAGGGTGGGGGCGGCAACACAAAATGCTCTGTCACCAAAAGTTCACAGAGGTGTGAGAGGTGGAGAGCAGGCCCGTGTCTGAGGACCATAGGTTCCGGGGCGGGGTATAGGGGTGGAGGAGGTCAGACAGGTAAACGGTGTTTCTTCTATCATCAAGCCCACCACTTTACACTATCACGTACTTAACTTTGTTCACACAAGATATAGCTCTTCTTGGACCTGTATCTTGGATATTATAGCCTAATTCATTTCACAATACACAAAGGTTTTATCACAGAGGAGAAGTTCTTGCATCAATGCACCAGCTGAAGGAGCTGACGGGCCTGCGTCTCACTGGAGCTGTACCTTGTATGACTTCATGTGACATGTCTGTCCCTGACGTAGTGATGAAGTGACACCACTGGTCCATTGAGTGCTTGAGTTTCCACATCGACCATTGCTCTGCCTAAAATAAAAAGGAACAAACAGTCCTCATATTGTCAGGAGATGCCAAGAAACGTCATGAGGAGGAAGTGGAAATAAGACACTGATGATTCTGCTCAAAACGAAATGTGCTGCAGCTTGTATAAACAGCGTGGCTGCATTTTGTCCCCAGAACACAAAACTTTCAGGTACAGACTCTTGAATCGTCCAAAAGCTTTAATGGTCACTGAGCGTTTGTGAACACAGATGCAAAGTGAACTCACACTGCAGAGAAGAAGGCTACGTCCACATTACATGCAAACGTGGCTTAAATGTGATTTTTTTTTCTTTTTTTTTTTGCTCACATGTTACACAGATCTGTTTTTTCAGAGTAGCGAAGACACAGAAATCAGACTTTTCCCAATTAGGTCTAGGCCACTTTCATATGTGGCGCTTAATCTCATACATGTATGATGTCACATATGGGTCACTTCAAACATGGTTGAGAACAGTCTAGGCAGAAAGATCAGATTTGGGGAAATAATCGGAGATGGGCATTAGTCTTGAGTCACAGCTCCGACTAAATCACAACAAATTGCTGTCTTAAAGTGAACACACACTGAATAGACGGATGCAGTCTTAATGACAGAGCACTATGAGTTATTCAGTGCTGCAAAATCTGCTGGTTCAAAAAACAGGGCCTGCAGAGCGAGGATATTGTAGTGTTGGCTGATGATTAGAAGAACGCCAAAATGTTCAGCAAGTGCCATTTACTTCAACTGGATGCACATACAATAAAATATTAGTTAACAGCAAGCATAGTATAGCACCCTTCATTCAGTCGTCGCCATCCAAACTTTCCTAACAAGTGCCTGCTTATTGACGGTGCTGCCTAATTGTATAAAACAGCAACATGTAAATGATAGAAAACAAAAGATATAAACCCCACATTACCAGCAAAAATCAGACTTTGAAGCCTACACTGCCACGTGTACTATTTTTAATGTAATCATTTCCTGATTTGTAACTTCCCTTTTGTTTTTACAGCCATGGCAGTAAAATGTGCGATGCAATGTCTGAGATCAGTGATTGTGTTCACGTGTCCTATGATTATGCCACTGTTGCACTTTTTAAAAACAAATAAAACTCGGACCAAAGACAAAGGAACTGACAATATCTTTATAGATCTCTGATGGCCTCTGATAAATCAGTTTTCCCGTAATCTAGGTGACTTGATCCAAAGCACAAAAGGTAGCCTACATTGGACTAAATGGTTCCTGGAGTCCTCGTCTCTGCTATAGCTCAGGCCTATTTTTTTTTATACTGTGATAATATTGATAAGCATTGTTGTGATGCAATGACAATATGATTAAACAACAAACACTTTCTTTCTTTCTTTCTTTCGTCCTCGTCTCTGTTATAGCTCAGGCCTATTTTGTTTTATACTGCGATAATACTGATAAGCATTGTTGTGATGCAATGAAAGATTAGATACTGTGTAGTTGTGTGCAGTTAAATGTTTGCCAAGTGGTTTTGACCTGTGGCATCACACCAGCAGTGCAGACACCCTCTCTGAAGCGTATAAAAGAAAGTGGCCTTTCAGCTGTCTCTGAAAGATTCTCAATAACATCCAGCAGTGTAGATCACATTCTCCAAAGACTTAGACAAAGACTCCGACACCAACATGCTCTTGTTCCTCTTCATGTTCGGTCTGGCTCTGGGTGCTGTGTCTCCTTCAGAAGTCCATCAGGTGAAGCTACAGCGTGGCGCCTGTCCTATGTTCTGGTACAGCTTCAACGGCCGCTGCTACAAGTACATCGCCACACGTATGACCTGGGCTGATGCAGAACTCCACTGTGTGTCAGAGGGAAGCAACCTGGTGTCTATCTACAGTCTGGATGAACATAATTTTGTCCAATCCCTGATCAAGAACTTCGACCCTGCTCAGGGATTTACCTGGATTGGACTCAGCGACACCCAGAAGGAAGGAGGATGGATGTGGTCTGATGGTTGCCCTGTCAAATTTACCTTTTGGAGAACAGGAGAGCCAAACAACGTTGGAGGACATGAAGACTGTGTACACACTAACCTTGGTGAAGAACGGAAATGGAATGATTATCCATGTTCTCATGCATTAACATTTGTTTGTGCATCTCGCAGAGTTTGTCCTTAGCAACCAAGACGGTTATAACTGACTGAACTCAGTAACTTTCCACCCCTTGCTCTGTGGTAATACATTAGGACTGCACTATGTACTTTCTCATCTATGATTCTACTCATGAATAAAATGATTGTTTAATGATGACAATATCGTTATGTCTCCGTCACTTACTTAACTTAGTATAGTTAATGCAGGATGTGGTTTTTCTTGGACCCATCAAGGTATTTATAATCCATTTCACAATAAAAGCTGTATTTCATATTTTCAGAATAGCTAACAAAGCTGTAATGAACAGAGTGAAAGACATGTGAAGCAATAGGAAAAGAACCGTCATAATGTTTATGATGAAGATGTTCGGGAAGAATGCATTCAGGCCTCGTATTCTCTTGTTCTTTATAACAAATAAAGAGCTACAAGTATGAGATAATACATTACATGCAAAAACATTATCCCGCTTATACCATGGTTACTTACCAGAGAAATAAAAACTAATATGGTATAAAAAATCATAGCATGGTCTGGGTGAATACTTGTTTCTGATTGGCTGAACGGTGTCAATAAAAAGGTGATAAATTACTTGCCCCGGTGATGATCATCTGAAGGGCAAGTGAAGGGCACGCCGGATTGAAAGCTTCCTAGTTTTTCTGTGGAATTCATGTCAGAAGTAGATTTGCCTGTATCCTATAGTTATAATGGGAAAGTCTATAAACTTTATTTCTATCTGTTAGAGCTCAGACCTTTTTGTTTGTTTTATTTCAGAGTTGTGGTTCATTTTTATCCAAACATAGTCCGTGCACATTTGTCGCTGAACTATAATGTTTTCCTTTCTTTGTTTCTTTCTTTCTTTGTTTTTTTCTTTCTTTCTTTCTTTCATCCTCGTCTCTGTTATAGCTCAGCCCTATTTTGTTTAATAACTGTTGATAAATAGTAAACATTTATTGCTTGTCTGTTATTTCCTTGTTTTCATGTCAGAGACCTGGTTAATTTTTATCCAAACACTTGTCACACATGTTTCACACATGACTGTGTTGTTTTCATTCCAGTAGATAATGAGCTAATAATTTTACAATGTCCTGTAAATTGTCTTTATTTTTGGCTCATATTCAGATACTGTGTAGTTGTGTACAGGTAAAAGTGTTTGCCCAGTGGTTTTGACCTGTGACATCACACCAGCAGTGCAGACACCCTCTCTGAAGCGTATAAAAGAAAGTGGCCTTTCAGCTGTCTCTGAAAGATTCTCAATAACATCCAACGGTGAAGATCACGTTCTACGAAGACTTAAACAAAGACTCCGACACCAACATGCTCTTGTTCCTGTTCATGTTCGGTCTGGCTCTGGGTGCTGTGTCTCCTTCAGATGTCCATCAGGTGAAGCTACAGCGTGGCGCCTGTCCCATGTTCTGGTACAGCTTCAACGGCCGCTGCTACAAGTACATCGCCACACGTATGACCTGGGCTGATGCAGAGCTCCACTGTGTGTCAGAGGGAGCCAACTTGGCATCTATCCACAGTCTGGATGAACATAATTTTGTCAAATCCCTGATCAAGAACTTTGACCCTGCACAGGGAAGGACCTGGATTGGACTCAGTGACACCCAGAAGGAAGGACGATGGATGTGGTCTGATGGGTCTGCAGTCAACTTTGTCTTTTGGCATGCAGCACAGCCAGACAATTGTGGAAGAACTGAACATTGTGTTCACAACAACTTTGGCACAGAATTAAAATGGAATGATCATCAGTGTTATCAGACATACACTTTTGTTTGTGCATCTCGCACAGTTTGTCCTTAGCAACCAAGAAGGTTATAACTGATTGATCTCAGTAACTTTCCACCCCTTGCTCTGTGGTAATACATTAAGACTGCACGATAACGATACAAAAGTTTGTACATATATAATTCTTCTCATGTACTGTTTGACTATGAAGATGTTTCTATGTGTTTTATGCAAGTATAAAATACTTTGGGATTTCCACCAAAAGATTTCGTCTCTGTCGCTTACTTAACTTAGTATAGTTAATGCAGGATGTGGTCTTTCTTAGACCCATCAAGGTATTTATAATCCATTCCACAATAAAAGTTTTATTTCATATTTTCAGAATAGCTAACAAAGCTGTAATGACCATAATGAAAGACACCATCATAGAGAAGAGAACCATCATAGTGTTTATGATAGGGATGTTTTTTAAGAATGCATTTGGGTGTACAGGTGACAGGCACAAATATATATCTATTTAATTATACACAAAAATAAAAGAAACATAAAAGGACAACACTATGAAAGACTAATTGCTAAGCATTTCTTTAAAGCTTGCTGAAAATTCCTATCTGTGTCAATCAGTTTCAAAGATACTGGAAGTTCATTCCATTCAATTGCAGCTGTATATAAGGAGGTGTCATTGTCCACTGAACTTTGAAATCTTAAAAGAATAAAATCTGTTGAGCTGTGTCTCATCAAATAGTTGTAATTCTCCCTGAAGAGATTGAAGTAGTTGGACGGAGGTTTGGGGACCTCATTATAAACAATTTTATTTGCATGACTCTTTATTGACAGGAAGCCAATTAAACTGTAGAAAATGTGCCAAATCAAGATGGGTACCTGAGAGGTAACTTGTCTTTATGTGCTGTGGTGTACTGATAAGCCAGGAGGTGGCAGCATAGCCAAAGTGACATTAAACGAATGCCCCTGCTAACATCTTTAGCACTGATGTATTCAATCACTCTGATTTTCTTGCCAAGAATTTTGTCTTTTGGCAGATTTTAGTGAGGGCTTTCACTGTCATGGCCTCCCTTGATAGATGTTTATATAATGTATATCTTAAATAGCAGTAATAGTATCCTTAGCCTTCCTTTACTGTCATCTCTGCTGTCTTTCCTAGTTTTATTCTGAATCCAAAAAGATGGCCTCTATTTTCCCTAAATGAAGACACAGCTTGTTATTAGACAGCCGAGTCCCAAAAGTGTGAGGCTCTTGCTGAATCTTAATGAGACACCAGAATAGCTGAGTTGTCTGCATAGAGAAACAGGTCAGAAGAACAGACCACCTTTATATCATTAATGTACAGCAGGAAAAAAGTGGCCCTGAGACACACCCTTGAGGGACCCCACAACTTGTGTAATAAATTAAAAAAGGCACAATAAAAAAATAACTTATAGACAAATTCACATTTGGTTTATACAGTACAATACATACATTGCTTTTAGAGCTCTGGTCCATGTATTGCCAGCCATATTAGTACAGCTTTAAAACACAATATTTGTTAAACTGTGGATTATCTAAAGGAAGATGCTTGGACTCACAGAAATCTTTCATTTATTTCATTAAAAAGCTCAGAGTAAAAAAAGAAAGAAAATGACAACACTTTTATAGATCTGTGGCGGCCTCTGATAAATTACTTGCACAGTGATGTTAGTGACATCGACTGAAGGGCATGTGAAGGGCACATTGGATTGAAAAGTTCCTGTTTATTCAATGAAATACATGTCAGAATTAGATTTGCCTGTATCATTCAGTTATTTCAGTATTTTTCCATGTCTGTTCCAGTCTGTGTGTAATAGATAGATATGGGAACAGCACAGGTGTAACAGCTGTTGCAGTCACCAGTACACTGCCTATCAGCATGTGAATATTTGATTAACCACAGGCTCTGAGAGTAAAATGCAAGTGGAAATGTTTATATAGACTTTTATGTGACATCTCCAGGTGCTGGTGGTGTTTTTTTGGCTCATGTTGAGTTACTGTGTGGTTGTGTACAGCTGAAAGTGTTTGCCAAGTTCAGTTGACCAATAATACTGTGCCAACAGTGCAGACACCCTCTCTGAAGCATGTAAAAGAAAGCAGCCTGTCACCTCTCTTCTTCAGGGTCTTGATCCCATCCATCGGTGCAGATCAACTCCAGCCAACATACGACCCCTCATCCTGCTCCTGTGACACAGAGACGCCAACATGCTCTCGCTCCTCTTGTTGTTTGGTCTGGCTCTGGGTGCTGTGTCTTCTCCTGATGTGAAGCTGCAGCGTGGCAACTGTCCCATGTTCTGGTACAGCTTCAACGGCCGCTGCTACAAGTACATCTCCACACGTTTCACCTGGGCTGATGCAGAGCTCCACTGTGTGTCAGAGGGAGCCAACCTGGTGTCCATCCACAGTCAAGATGAAGAGAATTTTGTCAAATCTCTGATCAAGAACTTTGACCCTGCACAGGGGTATACCTGGATCGGACTGAGTGACACCCAGAAGGAAGGAGGATGGATGTGGTCTGATGGGTCTGCAGTGGACTTTACCTTTTGGAATACAGGACAGCCAGACAACTATAGAGAATACGAACACTGTGTTCACAACAACTGTTTTGCAGATTTGAAATGGAATGACGATCTTTGTTCTGTAACTTATGCCTCTGTTTGTATATCTCGTATAACCTGTACATAGCAACTGAGACAGTAACATATGTCTGACTGAGCCTGATCTCTGTTCAGCTGTTGCTCTGTTGACATGAATGAGGCCTCTACAATAAAGACACAAATGTACACTGTTGTGTTTACAGAAGTCACTTCATTTTCATGAATGTTGGATATTCACACAGGTAACTTTAGTGGTTGATCAAAAGGAATATTTCCACGCCTTTATCATAATCTCAAAATTAATATTACCAATATTTATTAAAAATAATACTACCCCTTCATTGTACTTAACAAACATGTATTTATTAAGAGGATTAGAACCTACAGCCATAACCTAAACATGATTTTTAATCCACAGATTGCTACCCTTTGTGTTTTTATAGATTTACATTTATTTGTGTCTTTGCATGTCTTCTCCAGCTGTGTGTCTTGTGTGTGTAAATTAAAAGAGTCTGGCCTTGACCAGATCTGTATGAAAACTGTCCCAAGATCAATTTTATGATTTCGTGCTATATAAATAAAATTGTTTTGGCTTATCTCTTACACATACTAAAACAAAGTGTGACACACCATATGTCTTCCAGCTATTGAACAGTTTATTATCTTCTTTGAACATGGAATATTATTGCCGTTTACCTCATTGATAAACATTTTCCACAGTCCTATGACAGTCATGACTCGTAACAAGGCAGCGTACTGAAAACAGAATGAAGTCCCTCTTTTATAACGAGAACCTCTGATCAGCTTCTGGTTTGAGTCATGAGAAAATCCCTGGGTCATGATGCTGACTGGATGGAGTCACACTTGAACAGGTTTTGATCTTTCTTCCCACCCTGGTCCCTTCCTCTCCACTGAAGTCCACAAATCATCCAAAGAAGTTTTTAAAGTCTAAATAAAAGTGTTTTTGCATAACTGCTACAGCAGTTGATTGTGAGGCACTGCAAGACAAGGCACTTTGGTGAATACTGAGATGCAACAGCACAAGAGGATATGAATCTTTAGTCTACACTGACACTGTGTAAATTACAGTTATGATAATGAGAGGAGAAAATGTTCCCTTCAGGAGAAATGTAATAAACGACAGAAACAAAACCAGCAGAAGTTCGACAGGCTCTGCCCAGTCCTGAAAGAGGAAGCAGGAAGTCCAAATAGGTTTGGGTTACCATGACATGAAGCATTTTATGTTAACCAGGTCAGGACACGTGCAGGCTGGTCTCATTTCAGTTTTAAATGTCCCTCTTTATGAAAAGTTGTAGTGGAAAGGTTTGGTTAAATCCAGGTCACCACAACACAGGAAAGTCCATTTTACTGAAGCCAGGGTCTCTGCGCATCTCCCAGTAGGTGTTGTTGCTCACCCACGTGTCGTTGTTAGACTTCCTGCCAACACAACACAAATGACACGATGAGTGATACATCTTGAATGATTAGCAAATTTAATTTATTTGATGCCTGTCAAATATACAACAAATTACAAAACTTCCCAGAATAATGTTTGATATCAGTAATACTTTGAATCATCCAAAAACGGTATCATGAAAGGATGTTTTTGTTTTGACAATGTTAATAATATTCTGTGGGCAAGCCTCAAGGAGTATAGAAAAGGTTCTTAACTCAGTGACAGTGTTTCCCAACTGGTCCAGACATGTGGTCCAGATTTCTCCGTAGTCATGAGTTCAAGGTCCACACAGTGTAATTTATTCAGTGTTCTACTGTGTTGTTGGGCTAATTTTCTGCCTCTGTTAAGTAGCTCTCCATTATTTACTCATTCTACAGCAGGAAACAGCACTTCAAAATAAAAGCTCTGTGCTGGAAATTCACTGTACTTCAAAATAAAGTGTGTTTTTTACTAACTTGACGCATTCATGAGTCACTTGAGATTAATTCAGGACACGAGACCCCCCAGTTGGGAACCACTGGTCTATAACATCTTTCATTATGCTAAAAACATCTGATTTAAAACATCTAGGAATGTAAGGGAGGGTTGTATTTTGAATTTTCTGGGTTTTACCACAATGATGAATAGAAGTAAGAGGAAAACATTTTTGAAGTCATAGGGGTCCACATTTAACAACAGCAAAACTATATCAAACCATCCCATCACAAACTCTCATGCAACTCGTGCAGTATAATCCTGTGCTGTGTCTCAAATCGCGTACTTCTGTACTTACACTTAATATTTTGAGTGCATAAGTGCGTTCACACTGAGAAGTATGGAAAAATGCAGTGCACTATGAGTACCCGGATGGTGCCCTCAAAACAGTCAAGAAGTTGAGTGTGGAACTATGGACACTTCTCGCCCTCAATGGTCACCATCTTGGCTACGTAGCAGAAGGGGAGGGACCACTTTTCACACTGGAAAGGGCAGCCGAGGACTGTGCGACCGTGAACGTTGCTGCATTATGTAATACATGTCTTTTTTGCACTAAGCACCACTATACTGTTGTCGGGTATAAGCCAGCAGTATGTTTATTAGGTTAATTTAGCAGTCTGTAATGATTTGGTACCGCGAACGATAACGCTAATGCTAGTTTGCTAACTAGCTAATTTGCGGCCATCATTTCCGGTGAGTGCACAACAGCTGTGTTAGGTTTGAGACATCACTACCCTGTCGAAATTCGCGCACTACGCCAATAAGTACATAGTGCACATAGTATGCTACATGGAATTGTACTAACAGAAGTATGTGATTTGAGACACACCACAAGTCTCAATTATCCAGTGGTATGCTCAGTGGTTCATGCATTTTTGCTAAATCCCTAATATTAAAAACACTGCTGCATAAACAGAGCCTGCACCCTGCTCATGTGTGCCTGAGACGGTTTATTCATAATTGTTTAAAATCTTACAGTTTTAGTGAAAATGCATGTGTTTGGGAGGTACTGAGCATATGAATGGATAAATCAGACTGCACAGGTTATGTGAGAGTTTGTAAACGACTGTTTTGATAGAGTTTGCTGTTTTTAAAAGTGGACCCCTTTGACAATTTAATTTGTCAAGAATTTTCTCTGTTTGTGAATTCTTTGTTCCCAGTGGAGACATGCGAGAAAAACAAAGTTTTCTTCATAAATTCAATGTAAAATGGGACGATTAATTCATATAAGAATGGTCTTTTAGGGCGTGAAATGTTCTTTTAGAAACCAAGTCACACACATTATACCACATGTGACATAATGGTTGCAATGGAGGTGATCTCTGATGATATGTGACAGACCAACTGCATGGAAAAAGACATGCAAACTCTGTGTCTGATTGCACACAGACGCACACGAGCACAGACAAGAAATCAGCTGCATACTTGAAAAAGCGTGGCTGGTGCGTCATGTTGTTCTCCTGCAGCACTTTCCTCCTCTCCCTCTGGAGCTGCTCTATCCTCTGTTTCTGCTCCTCGGCTCCTTCTGTGTTCCCCTCCTCCAACAGCCTGGACAGAGAACGCAAAGAGTCAGTTGGATACAAAACTGTAGAAATGAGTCCTTCTAGAGCGCCACCGCCATTCATCTCACTGTTTCCACACACAAACAGGAAAATTCTGGCTTTTCCTCTCTCTGAGTAGAATTAACTGTGGTAGTTTCAGCTGAATACTTGAGTATGATAGCCCTACTTGAGTGACCCTCGGATAACTGTTAGACATTGGTTAGTGTTGCTTGACTAGACACGTTCAGCCAAAATAACTGCTCTGGACCGGTTGTTGGCCATCAGGAAGCTGACTGCAGGCCGATAGAACACTTGAAACTAAAAGTCCCTTTTGATCTTTTCCCGTCTGTGTTTCCACCACATCTGAGGAACCATGAAGATTAGACAAATTAGACTTGTGGCAGATTAAAAAACTGGCATTGAAATGAAACTTTCCCAAATGTGTAAACAACACACAATCACTCTTACTGTTTGTATTTACTGTGATGTGACTTTGATGACTGAGTCATATGTGATGAATCCCACAGGAAATTAATTTAATTCCTGGTTCCTTCAGTCCAGACACAGGTTTAGTTTCTTCATTACTCCAAAAAGGTTCTCATACGTCTCGAACAGTCGTGGGTTAGCTGGTTTGGTTTGGGCCATCAGCCCAGCACAGCAGGGATGTGCTTTTCCATTACAACAGGGCTACCTTCTTGAAGGTGTGTCTTCAACTGAGGATGGCTGATCTTGATTGATGATGTTTAAAAGCAAAGTGCTGATCCACAGCTTAAGGCAGAATTTATACTTCTGGGTTGAATCGGCGCCATAGCTATGGAGTAGGCTCTGCGTCGACATGGAGCCTACACCATACCCTTCGCCATAGCCTGACGTGCACCTCCCCAGAAATGTAACTACACGTCACGGCGATGCAGAACACCTGTCTATTTTTGTAAGCTGAAACCATTTCCTGCAGTGGCAATGCAGCTTTTATTTAATTTAATTTCATAGATAAGGAACAATAAATTGTGAATCATAGTAAAGCCTCCACAAAAAAAGCATTTTAAGTCTTGTGTGTGATTTATCCTGGCTTCATATGAGCAGAGGAAATCTCTGCTCGTTGCTAAGCTAATTTATACAATGTAAAATGCCATAGGCTTGTGCTAGTAACGTTAGCATGTTATATTTGTCTGAAAAACGTGTTTAGTATAAGACAGTTGTTTTGTCAGTGAACCTTGTGAGTTGTAATGGAGTCAAATTTTTAACGTTACCTTTGTTAAATGTCGCTGTTGTCCCTGGTTTTATATGAGAAGAGGAAAAGATTGCTAGCGGCTAGGCTAATTTATACAATGTAAACAGCCTTAAGCTTGTGCTAATAACGTTAGCATGTTGTATTTGTGGGGAAAATGTGTCCAGATAAAGACAAGTGTTTGTCTGTGAATGCTGTGAGTTATAGTGAAGCTGATTTGTGTACTTGTGTTTGAAATAGTCTCTATTAAGCCATGTTTAATGTGTGTTTAATGTGTGTTTTTGGTGTGTTTTGAATCAACTAGACTTTACAGCACTTCCCAGAAACCCCACTGCCAACTACTGTTTTGGAGGTGTAACTGCAGAGTGACACAGACACACCACCGCCTAAGTATAAATCCTCACAATGGCATAGGCCATGTGCGTAGTTTACGGCGTAGGGTCTGCCGCAAAAGTATAACTCCCCCTTAAAACAGTGGCTGTAGAACTCGCACACTCCGGCTCTGCAGGGGGATGATATTGATCTTTTTTCGTTCTTTTTTTGTTGTCTAATTTGAGTAGTATACAAACCAGGGCTGGGCAATATATTGATAATACAGGGTTCCCACACATTTCTACCAATTCATTTTTTAAATCTTTTCCCAAATATTTTACCCCATATCGCTGTCTTAATTCAATTAGTTTAAAAATGTGCAGGCCTGTATAGCACAGCATTAAACACACACTTCCCAGGCATTTGCAGATAAACAAACTGCTAGCACTTGCTAACTTTACTTGCTTGTTAGTTTAGTTTAGTTTATTTACTTTATTAATCCCCCGGAGGGGAAATTCAATGTTTTCACTCTTGCTTGTCAATTACACACAGGTCTGAAAGACACACACATGCACAAACAGGACCTATACATGTACAAAGTGGAGAGATGTCAGAGTGAGGGGGCTGCCCTTTTGTCAGGCACCCCGAGCGGTTGGGGGGTTCAGTGCCCCTTGCTCAAGGGCACCTCGGCAGTGCCCAGGAGGTGAACTGGCACCTCTCCAGCCACCAGTCCACGCTCCATATTTGGTCAGGACGGGGACTCGAACAGTCGACCCTCCGGTTCCCAACCCAAGTCCCTATGGACTGAGCTACTGCCGCCCCACATGCCCCACATGCCCCACATGCCGTTAGACATTCTCACCGCCAATTAGCTGCATACGCCAATAGACCAGACCAGCACATATGGGCACTTCGTGAATCCCTGGTTATCCCGCCAGACAACAGCTTTTCGGCAATTTCCGGTTTCTCTCCTGATGTGTCTTTAAACTATTTCCAGGCCTGGAAAACAGTTTTTCTCTAATTTCATAACTTTTACAGGAGTTTCACGACTGTTGGAAACCTTATATTACATCGAATATTGTTAATATGAGACTAGATATTATCTTAGATTTCAGACCGTAATATTGCAGGTGATGTCTTTTCCTGGTTTTAAAGTGAAGTGATATCATTTTCTGAACTGTTGTAGCAGTTTTATTACTTGCCTTTACCCACTTCAGTCATTGTAGCCACATTTCTGATTATTATTTATTATTCTGGTGATTGTGGAAATATTTTATGACAGCATCAACCCCACAATTTCACCACAATATCGCTATGGAGGTGTTTGGTAAAAAAAATGTCTCCATATCACCCAGCTCTAGCACTGGGAAATCTGGGTATGAAGCAATATAATATCCTTTTATATGACTGTTATTCATCCAACCTAATG